AAATTAAAAAAAATGTATAACAAATGTGACACTAATTAACATTGTCAATTCCAATCTTATTTATGTGGTGGATACCCCAAAAAAAAATAAATGGCTAGTTATAATATATATTTTATTGGATAGAATTATTTTATTATTGTGATTATTCGAATGAAAAAATTAACAATTATGATTATGAATGTGATTAAGTATATTATTTATAGCTAATTATTTATAGCTAATTATTTATTATTGACAATTAAATTAATTATACATAATAACTAGATAAAATAAAGTCATCATCAAATAACTTTTGCTTTTCAAAGTCCGTATAATAAGGTTTGAATGATGATTGATTCTAATTATCATACAGACGGCAAAAGAATTTTCGCACACTTAATAATTTACATGCGTTTGTATAACATCTATGATTTTTTATCACACAATTGGAATTTTCAATTTTCGCGTATTATTTTATTTTATAATTTGGATTTTTTGCCTATACCTATAATTTAGCCTTTAGCTCACAAATTAGACTTTAGACTTTAAATCCAAAATTTAGACTTTACACTATAGTTTAGCATTCACTAAGGACTAATACAAAATCGAAAATTCTAACCTTTTGAAATTTAGATATGTTATTTGAAAGCGAGATTCATTTCGAATTACCTTTAGATGTTAAAGAATCATCGCCAAAAGCAGCAAAAGCTAGATATTTAGATCATCGTGGGAACGTTCAATCATTAGAAATTATTACGAATGTAAAGTGTTTCTCGTCGAGAACTAATTCAGCTTCATACGTGACAAGAATTATTTAATGCGATTCTTTCCTTTATTATTGTTTCTTCTCTTTTATATATTATATAGAATTTCGGTCTCAAAGTTAATAAATCCGTTGCTGATGATTTTTGTTTATTTATGGAAAACGGAAATAGCAATAACAGGAATTGTGGGAATCATCAGTAAAGTATCATCATTTTAAGATTGAGATTTTGAATTTTTCAGATTTTCAATTTTTTTTAAGGACTTCCAACAATATATTATATATATTAAAACACATATTGGATCACTGAGCTGCTGCTGCACACACAATGAGACCTTATATATTTTAATTAATTAATTATAAGCTTTGATACTAACGAAAATGGAAAGTTTTTTCAAGGGATCGCAAATAAACTTGAACAAGTTCGACAAAATCGAGTTGTTTTACTTGATTCAAGTATTTATTCAGACTTGGGTAAAATGGTAAAAAATACTATTGAACAATTTTTGGGTAAACCGTCATCAGATGATGGAGAAGATAATGAAGGGGATGAAGGAGATGATGATGAAGATTCGATAAAATATTTGCATCAAGAATACTAAGATTGTTAAAATATTTATTTATTTATTTATTTAATAGCGAATATCAGAATAGGATACCTATAATATTTATTTTAGGTATTTCTACTAGTATCCAAGGAATTGATGAGATTCATAATAATTATTCTTATTCAATAGAGAGATTATTGAGACCTACAACATTTAATTTAAAGTTGCAAAAAAAAAGTCGACTTGATGTTTTATTATCACAAGTTAGAATTTATCTATTCTTTCTCTTTTGTTATTATGATTCTTTTTACATTAGTAATAATCCTTAAATTTAATCTTTAAATTTAGCAAAGTGTATGATAGAAAATATTCAAAGTATTAAATTTGGAAAAAAGGTGTTTGTTTTTCTTCAAGATTCATTCATTGGAATAAAATTTTCATTGATATCATTCATTTCAAGATACAAGGTTTGTAAATTTGACATTATTCAATTTATTCAATTTATTTAGTTTATTTAATTTATATGTCATATGATTATTATATAAATGCTTGCCAGAAGAACAAAAAATTTATATGATAAAAAGAATTCAAAAATTTTTGAAAAAAAAGAGAGAGAATTCAAAATTGATGAATAAAAAAAAAGAAAACTTAAAATTTAACTTATCTTAAGATTATATTTTATTTTATATAATTATTAATTTTGAAATTTGTAATTCTATTTAAGATATGGATAATTATTACATTCTGAATTCAAATTACAGTATATATGTTATGTGAAAAATTCGGGCAATCTGAAAAAATTATTTACCGCTGAAACTTTTAGGTTTAATATAAAAAATTCCTTTGTTTAAACATTAACTGCGCAATATATTATTATTATTAATTATGGTTAAAAAAAATACATTAAATTGTAGAGCTGATCTAAAGCTATCAAATAATGTATTTATTTTTTTGATTCTGTATTTGGATGCAAAGTTTTATTAGTTTAAAATAAGTGAAAATTTTTGCTGCCTTTAGACCTTCCGTACCATATTCGAGGTTTTCTTTTATAAACAAAATCATCATTCAGAAAGTATGTAAATTTTCCTTTATTGTTTACGAATTTCATTTATTCGTTCTTATCAAACATCAGGATTCAATTTGCCTTAACTACTCTTGGTGCAACGATTGCTACAAAGTTTACTATTTTCTCATACCAGTCGTTTCAAATACAAGCGTGTACAAAAACTCTTTTAATTATTGTCATTATTACGAATTCATACAAATTATTCAAACTTTAACGATATAGAAATGTTATTTGATCTGTACTACTTTAAAGTCTATGGAGGTAACATATAACAAATGTCGTGTTTAACAATGCCGTTGAAATTCAGGGCATGGACTCATGTCAAATTCCACCTGATTTTTTTTTATTCGATTGTCCACTTGAAATACGGGATGTAGACTAACGAAAAACGTAACTAAATAAGTAGTCATTTATTTATTTATTTATTTATAGAGATACATAGATACGTATTATGGATATATGTATATAAAATTTAAAGTATCAAAAATGAATAAAAATGCATGAAAGAATAAAATTGGATCTGATCTCGTCTACAGCAAACATCTAAGGAACATTCGCAGCAATTGCCGAATCGAGGATTACACATTTTTGACAATCTTAAGGTCTGAGCCGACAATTTCTTTTAAGTTCAGCAAATCCTGTGTATACATAAGATGAAGTGCCTGGCGGTATGATCTGTGCAAAAGAATAAAGTGAAGGACACGTTAATATCACCCCGTTCAGCATCGAATTGAAAACTATAATTGTCGGAATTTTTATCAGTAAAGTCTTTGTCAAATTTCCCATTCATTTGGATAGTTGTTTCTCCGACTTGGGTAATTGTCATTATTCCCGCGAGATTATTGAAAGTGGCAGTGGCTTTATCACCATTACGGCACAACACACAGTAGTGACGTGCAAGAAAGCAAGTAGAGTTGTGAGTAGAAATAAGTTGTACTTTTCAATAACATATTTAATCAAGAAATGTTTATAAGTAGAGAGGTTAAATCTTTTATATTAATGTTTTCAGATCTTAAATAAACAATTTACCCAACGTGCAAATTATATTATGAAATTATAATTAAAGCGATAGTTTTGGATCATCATATAGATCCGATAATAATATTAATAAAGTGGGTTTCTTATAAGATCGACAGACCCAATAAAATCAGGTGTAGCATATTATGAGAGCGATTTCAAAAATTTTTGCGATAAGATTTGCGCGTTCAGATTGGTTTCAAATTCCATGCATTATTATATTTTTTTTTTATTTTTACTGTATCAATAAAGCTAAGCCCTGGTGACACGATTATATATATATTTAATCGCATTTACATATATTTTTGGAATTTATTTCGTTGTATTGATTTCGATACTAAAAGTGATTATTTCGACTACCTCTACAGTATTGTATCAACAGGAATAGAATGGCATTTAATTATTTTTACATCTGATAGGTTATACTGCACCAGTGGGAGTGAATACCAGATTAATCTTTCAAAACCAGCCATTAAAGAAAATCCAGATGCATTTTGAACCAACGTAAAAAAGAATAATTGGAATTATTGTTTGGATTGTTAAAGGATAGGTTCAGTGTTGATGATTTCCCTGCTTGTAAAAGGGCACGAATTAAAAAAAAATGGCATGTATATATATTTTATTTGTAACAATAAATAAAAATAACAAGAATTTTTCTGGGATATTGATAATTTTTTGATGACAGGCCGACACTGAAATTTTTTTATTTTTTTTAAATAAGTCTTTATTTTTTGGTTTATTAACATCAATATCTTATCATTTGATTTATTTTTTGGAAATATTTCTGGATAACATACCGCTTTTGTTTAAACTAAAATAGTTTAATGAAATCTTCAATGGGTGCAGAGATTTAAATATTACAAACGTAAACAATGATTGTTTGTATGACATGAGTTATGAGTAGCGTAATAATATGACCCTCTATCGCTCACTTTACTAAACTAAAAAAAGAACATTTTGTACACCATAATAAGAAATTGGTATAATTTATTCCTTAACCAGAAATCGCAAAACCTTAAATTAATTTCGGAAACAATGAATTGGATTTCCGAAGGAAAACCCTAATTTCTTTGTTTCCAAAAGAATATCCAGATCACAAAATGGCATAACAATTAACCACATCAAACTTTAATTAAGCTCACAGCCAAAACATCATCACTCTATTCTGAATTGAAAATGGGTTTTCAAATATTTGTTAAAGGCCTCGAAGGAAAGACCACTACGTATAATGATATCACGCCAGAAACTAAGTTAAGATAATACATGAAGCTAGGAATGAAATAGCTAAATCTGGTACTAAGATTTTCCTTTGGTGTCTCCAGGGTTATAGTTATTAAGAAAATGGTGGAAGATAAGACAGGTGTGGAAGCTAAACTCCAACGTCTCATTTTTGCTGGGAACCAACTCGAAGATCAAAAAACAGCGGAGGACTATCAAATAACGAAAGCTTCTACACTTCATTTGGTCGTTAGGTAGGAAAAAATTTCAATCTGCCGTTGAAGATTGAGAAATAGTGATGATATCTATTACAGTCAATAGATTTACTACACCACGAATTTTTTTTTGACCATGATTGTTTAATTCTCCGACAAACATGGGAACTAATAGCATGGTTAAAATCCATTTATTATTATTTATCCTTATAAGTATTGTATGGTACTCCAATATTAATCTGAATGTATTTTTGTTGTCTGATCCAGTTATCCACATTTTTTTGAACATATATTAATGTGTTGAGGATTTTGTATAGTTTAATTGGTCGAATATTTATCTTATTTAATTGGTCAAATATAAATACAATAATTAATAAATGGATTTTTAACCATAATGGACATTTGAGTTATTTGCTAACAATTTGTATTTCAGACTCCCGGGTGGCGCAGATGAGAAACGTCATGATCCCAACGATGGCGTTGAGCTAACCA